TTATTTATGAAAGCAGTGGTGACTAAGAAAATCAACTCCTATAAAATTACTAAGTTTTAAAAATAGATTAAAATACACTTGCTTTATTCTCATTATATGCTGTCTAAGCAATGTATCTTAAAAACAAAGAAACTACATTAGCTAACTGGGTTACATTAGAATGATTTTTTTTCAGCAACCTTAAAATTATCTCCTTCATACCAATTTCTTTTGCTGCTTTTAAATGATCTTTGTAATTTCATTTCTGATTATGAAACTGGCACATATTTACCATATAGAAAATACAGGAGATCACAGAGGAAGAAATACTCATCATTTCACTGTCCAGAGATTAGACATTTGGTATCCCTAATTTGAAAATCTGAAATACAATTTATTGTTAAGTGCTGATCTTACGTCCTGTAACCCTGATGAACTTATTAATTCTGGTACTATTTTAGTACATTCCTTGAGGTTTTCTACATGAAGAACATATCATCGGCAAATAAAGGTGGTCTAAATTCTTCTGTTCCTATCTGGATACCTTTTGTTTCATTCTCTTACCTAATTGTCCTGGCTACAATCTCCAGTCCAACATTGAATGGAAGTGGTGAGAGTGGACATCTTTGTATTATTCCTAATCTAAAGGTGAAAGCATTCGGTCTGTCCCACTAAACATGATGTTAGCTGAAGCTTTCTGACAGATGTCCTCTATCAGGTTGAGGAAGTTCTCTTCTATTCCTTGTTTGTTGAAAGAATATTGAATTTTGTCATATGCCTTTCCCACGTCTATTGAGATGATCACATTAATTTTGGTTTATTTTCTACTGATACTACATTAATTGGTTTTCAGATGTTAAACTTATCTTCTATCCCTGGGATAAATCGCACTTGGCCATCGTGTATAATTTGTGCTGATGTTACTGGATTCAGTTTGCTATATTTTGTTGAGGATTTGTGTCTGTATTTAAAGACGATACTCATTTGTAGTTTTCTTGTGATGTCTTGGAGTAATACTGGCCTCATAGAATAAGCTGGGAAGTGTTCTGTCCTCTATTTTTGGAAGAGTTTGTGAAAAATTGATATCAACTCTCCTTTAGATGTTTGGTAGGATTTAGCTGTGAACCCGTCTGGGCCCAGGCTTTTTTTGGCATGTATTTTTTTTGAATGCTAATTCAATCTCTTTAGTTTTAGAAGTCTATTCAGATGTCAGTTTTGATTGCTCGTGTTTTTTTTTTCAGTGTTTAAAACTACCGCAAACCTCTAGTTTGTAGTGGTTCTGATAAGAAATGAAATGCCATCCTTACATTTAGTCCTCTGTATGTAATGTGCTTTTTCTCCTTTTATTCCTCCTAGAATTTTTCTGTTTATCACTGGTTTTGATCAATTTGAGTATGGTGTTCCTTGGTGTAGTTTTCTTCATATTTGTTGTCGTTAGTATACACTACGCTTCTCAGATATATGGGGTTTATAGCTTTCATTGCCCATCAGTGATAGACTGAATAAAGAAAATATGGTACATATAGACCATGGAATACTATGCAGCCATGAAAAGGAATGAGACAATGTCTTTTGCAGGGACATGGTTGAAGTTAGAAACCATTATTCTCAGCAAATGAATGCAGGAACAGAAAACCAAACGCCACATGTTCTTACTTATAAGTTGTAGCAGAATGACAAGAACACATAGACACATGGGGGAAACAACACACACTAGGGCCCGTCAGAAGTGAGGGGTGGGGGTTGGGGGGAGGGAGAGCATCAGGAAGAGTAGCTAATAGATGTTGTGCATAATAACTAGGTGATGAGATGATCTGTGCAGCAAACCACATGGCACCTGTTTACCTATGCAACAAACCTGCACATCCTGCACATGTACCCCACAATTTAAAATAAAAGTTGAAGGAAAAAACTAAAAAAGATTTTAAAAATCCACTTAAACCTCCATACTTGCATCACAATTAAATCAAAATTAATTACAGAACTGAACGTAAACTGCAAAACTAGAGAAATTACAGTAGAAAACATAAGAGAAACTCTTCATGATGTGGAGTTAGGCTAAGTATTCTTAGTTATCACATCAACAAAACGATTAAAGAAAACATTGATAAATTCAACTTTATACAAATTAAAAATTCTTGGTCAGCACAAGACACTATTCATAGAATAAAAAGACATGCTACAGATTGGGAGAAAAATATGAAAATCACTAATATGACAAAGAATTTGTGTGATGGTTAATTGTGTGTGTCCCTGTGACCGAGCCCCAGGGTGCCAGGACATTTGTTCCTATGTTATTCTGTGTGTGTACTGGAGGGGTCTCTGGATGACATTAACACTGGAATGGGCAGTCTATGTGAAGCAGATTACCCTCCCTAAGGTGAGTGGGCCTCATCCAATCAACCTAAAGCCAGAGGAGAAGTAAAAGGCCTAATAAGAAGGAAACACTTTCCTAGGTATCCACCTTTCTGTCTTGAGAATTTCAGCCTCCAGAATCTCATGTCCAAACTGTCTGTACACACACCGCCCCCCCACACACACAAACACACACACATATGCCATATACATATACATACATATATATTAATACACACACACACACACACACACACTTCCTAGGTAAGTAGGAAGGATTGCATTTTGTAAAGCTCAGCCATTCGATGATAATTGTTGAAGCTGGCCGGTGATTATGGGGATGTTTTACTGTGGGATTCTGTCTCCTTTTTTAGACTGTTGAAGTTCTGCATTTGAAGAAGTAGGATAGAATAATAGCTGAATTTCTCCACAGACACTTCAAAGCCGTAGGGATTAACACAGAGTCGAAAATACCACCCATAATCGTGCCCCCAACCAGGGCTAGGGAACTCTGGGCCCCAGGTGATTTTATTTAGCCAGGTCTGGGAACCACATAACAGCAGAGAGAGAGGAAACACCATGCAAAGAGAGACCAGCACAGCAACGAGAGCCTGTTAATGACAAAGCACAGGTAAAACCTTCCTCAGAAAGCGAGTGTGGAGAAACACAGATGAGGCCTGAGACCTGGTGGATCAGAACCCTGCTACTGGGGTATTGAAAGGCAGGGGCTTCACAGTGCAGAGGACCAGAGGGGCCAGTCTTCGAAGGGCAGAATTGCTGGGAGACGGGGAGGCCTGGACAAAGGAAGCATCCTCTGGAGACTTGTGGTGAAGAGAATGAATGAAGTAACTGGCAGAAATTGAAGTTCCTGCTTGAACAAAATACAATTCCAGAATGAGAGCACACATGCCTGTTTCCCAAAGTCAGACAATATTTCCTAAAATCCCAAGAAAAAATCATTTTTGGCAAGTGCCTAATATACAGTGATGCAATCCATGTGTCAAGACATTGGGAAAAGTTTATTATTAAGTATGTTAAAGTCAGCGAGACCTGATTCCCTCATGAGGACTCTGTTAAGGATGAATTCCACTCAACGAGTGATGCTTAGGACACACTTTTGAATAGCTCATGTGCATCAACATATTTAAATGTAAGTCTCAACCAAAAACTAGGCTGTCACATAGGCTGTCACTTAATGTTTGGGTTAAAATAACAAATAAAAATTGCAGGTACAGGGGTTAGAGAAGAGGAAAATATTGTCTTTGATTGTCATAGTGGTAAAAATTTGAAGTTGAAAGAAAGAATTTAAAATTTATAAACCAAATAGTAGAAATGTGTCAACTTAAAATGGGATTAGTGACATCTAAACCTTTTCAGTGCAATGTTAAATGGGAGCTATACAACTCTTCCTAAATAACAAACAAAAGGCACACACACATACACAAACAAAAAAGGAAACAAAATCAACAAAGAAATACAGTAAATACAATCTACCACATATGGTAAATGTAGACTAAAACATGGAGAGTTTAGAATATAAACAGGGAAATAAGAATGGTTTTATTAATCTAAATTCTCATCTGCCACAATCAATCATAATAATAAAAGCTTAAAACATTATACGTAAAAAATCCAATAGTCCAGAGTGAGGGCAAAAAATGTTTAATGAAACAGATTTAAAACTTAAACATTTTAACTGATGGACTAAAATTAATTTTGGATGCAAGTTAAAATTGGGACACAGAATATTGTTTTACACAACAGAATGCCAGCGAAAAGAAATTAAAATTAATTTTGGATGAAAGTTAAAATTTGGGCAGGGAATATTGTTCTTTACGAAGAATGCCAGCAAAGGCAAGTGTAAAGTAAGATTTTGAGATAGAAAATTATCAATGTACAAACATAAATATAGTAACTGACACAGGCAGGGGTGATTAATTGATGATAAAATACTCAGAGGAAGACCGTTAGAATACAGGATATTGATACTATTTCAAACCACTTTCCAAATTATTTATAAACAAGGTGTCTTTACAAGGGACAGATCTCCTAGACGCCTCCTTTACCAAGTCACCATCCTAGTATCACAACAATGGGGATGGACACACTGGGCCTTCTCTGCCTGCAGATGGACTGAGGTAGGAAGCTCACAGCATGGACTCTGCAGAGTTCCTGGCAAAAGGTTTACGCTGAATTTAATCATGAGGACATTTTCAGATAACTTCAGAATGTAGACCATTGAGCCA